AACCCACGAGGATTTGTTTCCCCCCCCCTCCCCTTTGTGCTTTTGCTCTCTTTCTTTATACCCTCCTTACGACGTCAGTCACTGGCTACTGGCTGGTTGACCAGGAAACCGAGGTTCGATTTCTGGAAGAGTAGAGATTATGCAGAGGTTTTGCAGGCCTTCGGCTGTAGGTTTTGAGACGCTAAAGGTAAAAGTAACGTTGCCCCTTCGCTTAATTACTCACCACGCCTTGAAGACGTATGGAGGAGCAGAGGTGTAGCTCCATCTGCGTGGTTCACCTCCCCCGGTTCTGACTGGATAGGAGGATGGATGTACCCCATAGCCGGTGTGAACGCTGTGGGAAGAGATATCTGCGCGTGTTGGGAATGGAACCCAGTTCTTGAATAATGTACACAATATTGATTTGAGGTTAGCTTTGCTCTCGTCTGTCATTCCCTATTTTTGAGTGGATATGATGCTTTAAGTTATGTAACAAAGTCAAGGAGGATGCGATGGGCAGGGCATGTAGCAGGAATGGGGAGAAAAGGAACGCATATAGGATATTGCTGGGAAGGCCAGGAGGAAAGAGCCCAATAGGAACACCAAGACGTAGGTGGGTGGATAATTAAACTGGATCTTAGAGAGATAGGATGGGATGGGATGGACTGGATTGATGTGGCTCAGGATAGGGTCCAGTGGAGGGCTCTTGTGGACACAGTGATGAACCTTCGGGTGTCATAAAATGCTGGGAGGTTCTTGAGTAGCTACACAATTGGCAGCTTCTCAAGAAGGGCTCAGCTCCATGAGTGAGTGAACTTCTCGTTTATAAGCGTGTACTGCGACTGCACCAGTCATTTGTAAGGATAAGTAGACCTGTTTGGTAGTATTTATTAGTGCGTGGGTTCTCAAACATTTTGATACCATAACCCCCCCCCCCGTGTCTGCTGATCAACGAAGGGTGCAGTTCTTCACATTGGTGCAAATCTCTGCCAGTCTATACGGTGGCAGCAGGAAGCTAAATAGCTTTACAACCTCTGCACACCTACAGTAAGCTATAAAATGTCCCTGCACAGTCACGAAAGGATTCTCAAAAAGTTTCCTCAGCTGCAGCTCTGCTTACCGAAAGTTCTCATGTTAAATCGGGGGCACTATGCTACAAGCCGGAAGGTCGCGCGTTCGATTCCCGTTGAGGTCATTTGATTTTTTCAATTGACCAAATCCTTCCAGCCGCACTATGGCCCTGGGGTCGACTCAGCCTCTAACAGAAATGAGTAAGGCTGACAACCTCACCGCCATCTGTGAACCGATTGTCTAGAAAATGTGGGAGTCTCGACGTCTCACAACGCTATGGGCCTCCACGGCCTGGTACAGGGATACCTTTACCGTTTTACCTTGCCTTATATTAAATCTTACTGCCTTGCCTGCAATGTGAGAACACCTCTTAGAATAGGCCGCGACCTCTCAAGGGATTAGTGACCATGTTTCCCTTCACGGGCCGAAAATGGGTGAGAGGTCCCTACTTTGCTGCGACTTTGCAGCTCACATTGGTGCTGATGTTGAACTGCATCGGCAGTAAGTCTTGACTAGGCAACGTTACGGATGGAAGTTACCTGTGTTCGCTCGAGGCCTCCAGTGTGGCGATATTGCTTCCTCTCGTGTGTGGTGATGACGCACCCCGCAAACATGTTTTAGACACAGCATAGTCATGTGTTCTAGTGTAACGGGATCTGAACTAAGACCCCAGAGCCTGCTGGTGATCTATAGGTAGGATCACCGCCTAGCGGCAGTTGTGTCGCCACGCAGCCCAGCCGTCGGGGGTCAGTGTACAGCACACACCGATGCTAGGCTTCGCGATGCACGCTCGGTATGGGCCGTATGGACGGATGCAGCGTCCGTGTGTTCCGGTCGAGGCCTCGCAGGCAGTACGGACGTTGCCTTCAGCCCGCTGTATACAGCACAGGGTCTTAGTGGTGCTGATAGAATTGTTCGAAGATAAATGTTTCAATTGTAAGAGGTATGGGGGGTTGGGGGTATAGCTCCATGCGATCCTCGCCTCGACGTTCGACGGGGGTTGTCAGCGTCACGCCCAGCTGTGTCGCGCTTCACGAGTCAGGAGGGCTGCGCCCCACAAACAATATAATTATGCCGGCCTCATTGTCTTCCGTTAAACGTAACAGTAACGCCCCACACTTGTATTCGCGGTGTGCTCGGTTCGATTCCTGACTGGGACAACTATCCTGACAGATTTTCCTCAGTTTCTCTATGAAGATTTCGGGATGGTACTTAGATTAGGCCACGACCGCTTTCTTTTTCAGCTCAGTCACCCTACCGCATGACGCTATATAGCGTAGATAAGCCGTAACTTGAGTATCGAGATGATTGTCTTGAGAACCTGACAGATGTTCCCTTATTCAAGAAAGCTGGCCCTGTGCCTGATTCATTGAGCATCACGCCATGAGGACATATGAGAGAGTGGAGGTATAGCGCCACCGTTCCTGACCTCGACACTAGACGGAAGTGAGCGGTAAACTTCACGCCCTGGCCGCCTTACTCCCTGGTAAAGTCCCACCTTTACCCGTTGGATAGGGTAGGGGGCCCTGAGCCGGCGTCAGCACTGTCGCGCTCATGCCCCTGCCCGGAATCGAACCCGGGCCGTGTAGCCTGAGAAACTGAAGTTTCATAATACTTGTATTTATAACAAGACGCTTCGTATGTAATGTCACAAGTAATTTATTTTTCGGAATAATTTGGCAGTTGTCGGGCTGGTTTCGTCTCTCACAAGGCCAGGAAATGTAACGAGTTATTTACACCCTATGCACGAACTGAAGGGAGGTCGTGTCTGTCTGCATCTCTCGCCTCTCAAATGTAGCGGATTGGATGGAAACTGACGCTCAGCTCGTTACAACTGCCTTGCAGTACGGTTGCACTCATTTCCCTCTGCTTGTTCTCTTTATTTTGCGGCCTTATTTAACCCGCCTGTAGTATAACCGAGCAAATTCTTCACCCTGATGACGTAGGCAGCATATTTCTCCGAAACGTCGATAGATGCATACAGAAGTACACGGTTCCAACCAAGGAGACCAAGATCCGCGATGCTGACATTCTAATCTTGCCGAAGTTACAGCCAGAGCAACAATTGGCCGGTGCGCCCGCGAAAGCGTGTGTGTAGCACTTAACCTTGCGGACAGACTCAAGTGGAGCATCACGTCACTTCCTCTGATATCACCGTGGCGTTGTCTTTATTTAGCGCACAGTTTCCTCTCGGCTGTCTCAAAATGTGCGGCGAACTCGGGTGTCTTCAGAGTTGAAGTGTATTTTGAATTGATTTTTTTGTGTACTGAAAATTAAACGCGCGGCCATATTGTAAGCAGCCTCGTGTTGTTACAGAGGCACGTTACCAAGTAGCGTGTTCGCAACAGTTGCACAAATCCACGTACCGCGTCGCGTAGTTTTATTGCATTTGTCAGACACGTTGCAGTTTGGATTCAGATCAGGCGACAGTGGATGCCAGAAATGAACATGTAGATGCATGCACCCATTCCGAGCGTAATTACCCCAATAATAATAAGAGCGAAAAATGTTTTGACCAGAAGTTAGAGTTAACATTGAGACGCATTTCGGGCACAGTGCACCATTTTCGTAAGTGATTCGGTTTTATAGACAGTTTTAAAAGGGGTAGGGGATGGATTGAACGTCACTGTGCGTACATTTCGTACCATGTCGCTTCTAATCTTTAGCGAAATTTGAGGTAGTTGCAATTTAGCTAGAATGTTTCCCCCATGAAGAAAGCCGTCTTCTGGGATGTGGCGCCGTGTAGATATTGTGTACACCGACGTTTCGGAGGAACGTATCGCCTCCATCTTCACGGTAGAAAAATCGGCGAGCGAGGAACCAGCGTGAGCAGGTGGCTGCAGTCTGCTCACGGTGGTTCCTCGCTCGCCGAGTTTTCTACCGTGAAGATGGAGACGATACGTTCCTCCGAAACGTCGGTATACACTGTCTACGTGGCCCCACATCCCAGAAGACGGCATATTTCATAGTCACCGCCGTGAAAACTTCAGCTCTTACTTGTTTCCTCCATAATTGCGCTCTATCCATAGGTGGATGCCTTGTTTTGTTGCCTGTTGTCCCTTTAAGCCGCGAAGCGAACTCCTGCGCCTATAAATTAATTGATACCTCGTGACCTGTTCGTGTGCACAATGAAATCGTCTCCACGGGCGTAATGCTGTGTCGACACTATACAGGGTGAGCGGAAATTCGTGCCTCCGCCGTCTCAGTACCGAGTTTCATCTAGAGAACGTGAATTGGCTTGAACTGGTTCGGGATCTTGTCCAGTTCGGAGATTTGCTGTTACTGACGTCGAATTTTCCGGGCCCCTTATTGCTGCTGTTGTGAAGACGTCGATGAACTTTTGGGGCACCATAGAGCAGGCAATTCTTTCGCCGTCGGTGTAACAGCACAAGTTGGCTTGGTTAGGCAGGTCTATGTTTCTTGTTTCCCCGAGATTGTGACAGCTGCCCCAGTGCGCCTCTGAGCTACGTAGGCCTGTAGAGCCTATCCGTGTGTAACAGCCTCCGTTTCTGTGCAGCTTTTCAGTTCCTCTTAGGTCCAAAAATTAAGGGGGGGGGCGGTTCGCGGCGTATATGCTCCATATAAAGCTACCTTAATGCCAACCGCAGGCTTGCCCGTTGTACCCAGTTATAGCCAACGAGACCGGACATCGAATCATGGCAATATAACTCCACACCTGACGCAGATGTAATGGTGCTGCCGTAATTTAGTTCCTGTTCTCTCCGCATCGTCCATGCCGGTTCTGGGGCCCACCTCGCCTCCTATTGAGCGAGGACCGGGGCTCTTTACCAGGATATAAAGCGGCCGGGACGTGAAGCTGACCACACCTCCAGCTAGTCCCGAGGTCACGAATATGTGGATCTACGCATCCACTTCTCCATACGTCTTCATGGCGCAATGAGTAAATAAGCACATGGACATATTTACCTTAGAAGATTGATTTGTTTCGTTTAATGTGTCGATATCCACGAATAGCTGATGCGTTTGTGTCACTCTGAATCCATTGACCGATAAGCAAAATGTTTAGGCAGTGGGCATACGTATGGGCGTTGGAACGAGCACAGGATCGTTGCACTGTTGTGGGTAGACGCAGGAATGCAGCAACTCCAGGACCTGAAGGCCGTCGCTTCGTGCCAGCTTGTGTTCCTCTTGCAGTGTCGAGGTGCAGACGTCAGTGGAGGCATGTGATTGCACAGAGTCGAGGTGCAGACGTCAGTGGAGGCATGTGATTGCACAGTGTATCAGACCCAGTAGCCGTGTGACGTGACACGCGTTGTTGCGTTATATTAGGATAGTATCTGGGCTAGGCAGCGTCGGTTGGTAGGATAAGACGAAGGATGAATTGAAAGAATCTGGAAGGAAGTGATCGTGACACAAATGAGGTACTATGCCGCTGTTTGCTTAGAGGGCCTGAGTAGAATCACGAATACTCCAGTCAGATGGCCGGTGTCGTCGAGATTCGAACCATGAGTCTAGAAGAACGTTAGCGCTACACCAGTCCGTCCGGTACTGTGGTTCAGTAACAGAAATTATCGTTTAGCTGAACTATCCGAACGTCTGTTTGCCTTAGGGTCAGAATTTTGATTCTGTCCAGGCTACAGTTTCCCTAAAGCCGAAGAATCGAGTACGTTTTAACATGGGGCCTGTGCGTGCGGGCGCGCCACGGCTAGGCTCCTGCTGTTCGGTGTTCCAACTCTTTATCACTACAGTCATATTGTTTTGTTGTGAAATCAAGGGACGCCAGATAGCATCCTATTAGTAATCCGGTATGTTTTAAATCTAGTCCCTGGGTTGCGCACATCGGTTGCAGCTGTATTTTTGGAGGGAGGAAGGGTGACGCACCATAAAGTTGGCCCTGTTATAACCCATACACGCCCAACCGTTAACTCACTTAGTGCACTTGATGAAACCTACTGCACATTCTGCCGAGATTGACCAGGTGTAAAACATGGGACATTAGAAGTGGATTAGCACTTGCCATCGGTCTTCGTGGGGCACTAAACCCGGCGATATTCTCAAGTAAAATAACACGCAAATGGTTACAAGGAACTGGGGCCCTGTTGCGAAATCCGCCACGTACACCCGCTGGACGCCGCGTCGCTGCAATAACGGGCTGAGCAATTAGAATTTTGTGTCACTTGTGGTCTCCCAGAGAACGGCGTTCCTCGCCATGGGCTGGCTCAGTCGACTGTGTCAATGCACTTCGCGGCCCCACAGCGGCCCACATCACCAGGTTGTTGACGAGAAGTCTTCGGAACCGGCGGTCGTCCCGGCGCAGAGCTTAGATGTTGAATGTGACGACGGTACGTATTGTCTGTGGACGCCTAGTAGCGTCTTCCTGGAGTAACTGGAGAAGACCTGGCCATGCCATAACTCAGGCGGTTAGTCGCTGTCTTCCCACCGCGGCGACTCGGGTTGGATCCCAGGTCAGGTCATGTGGGTTTTGTGGTGGACAGAGCGGCATTGAGACAGGTTTTGTCCGAGCATTTCGCGGTTTCCCTGCCAATTATCGATCCAGCAGATGCCCCACACTTGTCTGTCCACAAGGGCCGGCACACGAAGCGGCACGCTGTGGCCGTGCGCATTTCTTAACCGGGGAATATCACTAAAACGTAAGGGCGGTCGGTATTGGGATATAAATTGGAATCTTTTCCTTTTATTTTCTTGCCTTTTGTATTTTTACTTCCTTGCGTTTGTTTATGTATTGTGTCGTGCTTCCTTTCTTTCTCTCGCCCCTTCATTTTACTTCTTACTACCTCTCTCCGTCGTTTTCGCTCTTACCTTCTTTTTCACTTCATGCTATGCTTCGTCTACGGCGGGAACGAAGGTGACGTCACCATTGGAACGTTGCTATAGTTGAGCCAGCCAAAGATATCTCACCAGACGTAAGGTGCTACTAAGAGGTGACGCCCTGCTCCCCACTGTAACATTCTAGCCTGTCTGTTGATGTCACTCGTCTGATGTTAGTGTGGAGCGAGTAATCCAACCAATAGGAGTGGAAGGGTGAGGGTTGAGTACGGGAAGCGTAGGAAGCTAAGGTAGATGGAGTGGGGGAAGATGTCCGTGAATTCTTAGCTTGGCTCCACTATGCCTATATCATACTTTCCGTATTCATACGCTGGTGGGAAATAACTGGAACGTACTCACGTGGGACTTGCAAGGTATGACATGCCTTGGCTCGCAGAATACGCGGACAGGCAAACGTGTTCTGGTTTCCATTTTATACGCCCTCTTCGCGGTGTGGTGCTTAACCAAGCACGGAATCGTCTTTGCTTTAGAGCAGTGGTTCTCTCCCCATTTTGGATATTCATTTTCCTTGCGTTGCATTGGAATATAATAAAAATACAAGTTTATTTTAATAATGGCATTGTCTTGTGTAAAAATGTAAATTTATCGTAAAAGCGAAACGTTGTGGCGTTTTGTTACAATTGAAGAGAGTTTGTGTAAAGACATGTCTTATTTTGCATAGCCAGTCTTCCCATGAGAGCCCAGCGGCACACGGGTTGCGTGTGTTGTGTGTGGTATCAGTATCCTGAGCTGCCGTGTCTCTTGTTACAGGACGAATCCACACGGCGGTCGTTTCGGGCATCAACTACGAGACCCGCAGCGTGACAGTCGAATGGTTCGAGCGAGGTGAAACCAAAGGCAAAGAGGTAAGTTTCACACAGAGCGGTTAGCACCCCTGCTTGGTATTCGGCCCGCAGGCTGGTCATCCATACTTAAAATTTCGTTGTTTTCTTAAGACTCTCCAGCCCCGAATTAGGCCACGCGGCCTCTTCCATGAAATTGAGTATTTGTTTTTGACTTATTCTTTCCATCCGTCACACCGCTAATAGAATAAATGATAACAGCGTCCAGTGTGGTTCAATTTGTAGATATTTACTGCCTTCACGTGTTTCGGTCAGCTGTGACCGACCATCTTCAGAAGGCATGAAATCAACATGTTTAGGGACCGCTGTTACAGTTGTTAAAAAGTTATTTGCAGTTGTTTAGATTGAAAATCTTTTCGATGTATAATACTTAAGATCTTGAACCGATATGGTATGTGGCCCTGCGCCCCTTCTGACAAAATGGAACCCTTTGGCTGGGTGCCTCAAAACACTCACCTTCATCTAATGCGGAGGTTAAGAGTGGTAGAGCTTACCTCCACTTGTCCATACGTCTTCATAGCGTTGTGCTTAATTAAGTCCGGGGATAATTTTAACTTGATCAATTGTGATTCCGCAAGCATTTTGCTTAGTATAGTGTTGAAGTATGAGATGGGTAGGGTATATAGCACGTATGGGGGATATGAGAAACGCAAGGAAAATTGTAACAGATCAGATTCGGATGAGATGATATTATTAAAGTGTATGCTAAAGCTGGAGTATTGGCTGGATTAATTTGGCTCCGGGTAGGGTCCGGCGCCAGAATCATGTGGAAGGTAATAAGCCTTTTTAGTTCTGTAATGTGCGGGGGGGGGGGGTGGTTAGCTGAGCGACTGTCATCTTCAGAAGGACATTTGTTATTCATAGAGTGGGCGGGAAGGTCGCGGCCGCTCCACCCCGTCGAACTGCGTCTCATAGTCTCGTCGCTTTCAGCTGGAGAACAAGGAGATCCGCCCACGTGTTATGTGTACTCGTGTTTGTGCAAGTTCTGTCAGTACCGACCTCAAAAGTGGCTCATAGTTCGCCAGGGGCAGGATCCATCCACTTGGTCACACTGCTGGAATCCATATTGCATCAGTACTGAGCGACAAGCAGCTTGAGCATGAAGCTGACTATTCACCTGTATTTAGTGCAGTTTCCTTGCCTCCACTGCCCCTATACGCCTTCATAGTATGTCAGTTAGACGTCATTTCCTTTAACTGGTCTCAGACCTCCTTCCAGTGTCTGCTTGGTGTTGCCCTCTGCGTGGGGTTTTCCTCTTGTGAAGTGCATGAACGGTCACATTGGCCCTGTACTCAAGTGTCTGTCCGTTAATATGTGTTGGGGGAGTGGAGGATGGTCTCCACGTATTAAAGTTGACGCCGCTGTTGGTAGCTGAGACTAGTCGAACTGAAGGATGATAAATGAATACTGAATTGGACAGGATTTGGGAGGAAGCGGCCGCAGATTAAATTGAGATACTGTCCCGGACACATGCCTGGAGGAGACTGAGGAAAGCCACAAGTAGCGGTGGTTCGTGACCATGTCCAGAAAGTCAGTAATTGTGTCAATCAGGGCAGTCGCTGCCTTGCGAGGGTTCGAACCGGGCATCTCCCATCCACGAAACGACAGCTACCTGTACGCACTGGATCATATCGTTTGATTAAATTTGATGCTTGTTTGCAATTGAGGTCGCGGGTTCCACTCCTGACGAGGTCATCGGATTTTCCAATTGGCCTAACCCTTCCAGCCGCACTGTAACCCTGGGGTTGACTCAGCCTCTAACAGAAATGAGTACCAGGAATATTGGAGGTAAAGTGCGGCCGGCGAGTAAGGCTGACAACCTTGCCGCCATCTTTGAGCCGATTGTCTAGAAAACGTGGGAGCCTCGACGTCTCACAACCCTATGGGCCTCCACGGCCTGTTACAGGGATACCTTAACCTTTAAACAAAAAAAGGACGTGACAGCTCATGCGGTTAGTCGCCGGCTTCCCACCTCGGCGGCCCGGGTTCTAGCCGAGGTCATGTGGGATTTATGGTGGACAAAGTGGCACTGGGACAGGTTTTCTTCGAGTATTTCGGTTTCCCTTGCCATTTCTCATTCCACCGACCGCTCCCCGCTCATCATCATGCATCTTGGGCTGGTACAGTAGGCCAAATAGTGGCCGACGTACTACGTGGACTCAGCCTCACCCCATCCCACCCCACGAAACTGAAAATGAACTAACAATGTCTTGCGGAATGTGACACTGTGTAGTGTTATCTCCGTCTTCAGGGTGTGGAGGTTGGAGGTAAGGCTTCCACCCTGACGATGGAAGCAACAGATTCGGTGGCTCTTTAGATTTGCATTCGGGAGATGGCTCGTAATCTTGACCCCGAACTCACTCACCCATCTTCCCACTGGACGCTGTGGTACAGCTGGTGACCGCGCTGCAAATGTACCCACACAGAAAAGTTGAGCGCAAGGAGAACTTTGGCTTTCCTTTTGTACTGAAATGTGTTTCTTTTTTTCCAGATCGAAATAGAGGCCATCCTGTCATTGAACCCAGATCTCATACCCAAAGGACACTCAAATCAAAATGTCATCCCCACGAAGCTGACGAGGGTAAGTAATGTGTTGTGGAGTGTTTGCTGCAAGTTAATCACATTATTTCGTGTCTTCCGGGTTCCAGAGTCCATTCAGGTGACGTCATTGTCTTTGCTTTTGGGTTTCGTGGGCATTTCACATACGCATTGACTTTCATATAAATGGTCTTATCGGGTGTGACGCCGTGTAGCGTGGTAAATCAATACCACACTTCGCCTACTGCCTGCACCTTCAAGGTGTTGAGGTTTTCATGGAGGTAACTTTAAAAATGGAATGAGGTGTGTGTCGATGACGTTTCGGAGGCAGCGCATTCCTCTGAAACGTCGGCAAACATATACTAGGCTACTCGGTATTAACATGCCGGAAAGTAGTATTCTTCAATATTGAGGTTCTGTATAGGAGGGAGGTATTCTCTTCGAATCTCGGTCAAGGTACCGGACTTGGAATTGAGTTCCTCAGTACTGCCGTCTGTCGTTTGCTTCTGCTGTTGGGTCTGCCTCCGTTCAGATTGTCTCCTGTTGGCAATTCATGGTCATCTTACCATAGCGTGGGAACCGGAATAGCTCAGACAGTATATAGTGATTAAGCTACGGTATGGACGACCGAAGAATCGGGGTTTTGAGCCCTCAGAGCTTTGTTGGGGGGTGACCAGGTCGAATTCCGGGCAGTGAACCATTTTAAATAATGCATATAGTTGCTGTATTGGATTCCTTGAAATATGCCACTACAATTTCCTGACATTCTACCTTTTTTTTTTTCTGATGCTGTATCCCGCCTACGGAGGGTGTGGCGTACCAGTAACGCTTTGGACTGGGGAGATACACCGGAATTCATTTATTTGTCCTCGACATTCGACGCTATACAGGGTGTCCCAGGAGGAAAGTTCAGTATTCTGTGAAGCCACAGTATCGGTCATTATAAGTAAAAGGTGTACATGTACACGTGTCCTACTCCGAGACGGAGCTACTTCACTGTACAGACGAGCAACACGCCATGTCCTCACACGAGTTGCGAAGTGCACTGATGTCGAAGGTGGAATTTTCGGAAATGTATTGTACTAGGTAAACTGTACCAACTTTGTCACTTGAACAATAAATACCGGTATTAGAAACGGTACGTAATATCTCTGTCTTATCGACAGTTTTGAAACTGTACAGTGAAACAGCTCTATCTCGGAAACCGTTCGGAATAGGACACATATGCATATGGAAGTCTTTGCTTAGAATGGCTAATTTTTTTTACCTTTCCCCGTGGGACACTCTGTATAGCATGTAGCTGCTGACAGAAACTGGCTGTGTTTTGCCCCTGGGTGGAGAGCTGCCCGCAGTGTGCACACACTACTTCAAATCATTAGTCAATACTACGGAATTACGAATATCGAGAGGCATGCGTGAGGGCAGAGAAGGTCAGGGACCTCAGGCGACAACCCTTAATCGATCAGAAAACTCGGGGTGCCTCCACCCCACCATTATTCATTACAAATACAAGGGAACAACTTCCTGTTGTGTCTCGTGTCCAGCCTGTCAGATTGGTGTGCACTTCCGGGTCAGTAGCGAGGCCCTGTGTGCGTTTCCAGCGCATTAGCGCGCTCAATATTGGGATGGGCACGTCAAGTGTGACGTATCCCTCATAGGCAAAATAAATGCATACAAAGCGTCTCTAAGGCAGAAAGGTAAAGCTAACCTGTAACAGGCCGTGGAGGCCCATAGGGTTGCGAGACGTCGAGGCTCCCACATTTTCTAGACAGTGGGTTCACAGACGGCGTTGAGGTTGTCAGCCTTACGCGCCGGCCGGCCACATTTTCCCCCACAGGAAGATTCCTGGTACTCATTTCTGCTAGAGGCCTGAGTCGACCCCAGGGCCATAGTGCGGTTGGAAAAATTAGGTGCTGCCCTTGGAGAAAAAATTCTTTTGGCAGAGCGTATTAATATCGGACATGTAGCACGCATCGAAGAGAAGATGAGGTTTACAGGGTTACTTTGGTAGGGAACAGACCACTGGGAAAATTTAGGCTTAGATGGAGGGATAATATTAAAATGTGTCTTTGGAGCATTAGGGTCGGGATTCAGACGACTGAGATTAGGAATAAGTAACGATCACTGTAACGAACCTTCGGGTTGTGTAGAAGCTGCTGGGTTCTGAAGGACCCTGTTCCGTGGAGTTGGTTGGTCGGTCAGTTGGCGCTCTGTAATGGGGTGCCGCTGCTTCTGAAGTTTCCAAAACCCACCAACTTCCTCCCTTCGTACTTCACGTGTGGCATGAGATGTGTTTGTGGCTCACGACTGGAACGCGGTGCATGCTACATGCCTCTGCACTCTTCGTCATTCTGCCGCATGTCTGGCCTTTGCATTGAAGGCAGAGGTAATGCTGAAGCACATGCCATTAAGGCGTATAGGGGAGCGGAGGTATAGCTCCATCATTCTTAACTTAGGCTGCTGCTTTACCCTCAGTACCAATTGGATATGCCTCAGAGCAGGTCTGGGCTTTGAGTACAAAAACTCTTGCCCCTGCCAGGAATTGAACCCTGACTCCTCTGTCGTCCAGTCTGTAGCCTAATCGTTGTGCCGACTGAGCTGACCCGGCTCTTTGCTTTACACTGGAGACAAGTAGAAAGTCCATTTATGTCCTAGGCGAGATAGGAAGCCGTGACAGCGATTGTCTGGGTTGTCAAGCCGCATAGGCTTTGGATTTAGACCTGGCGTGTTGCTTGCGCGTGGCAAGTATTGCAAGAAGTAGCTGGGCAGTGGCTGCAGCTACATTTGGAGGGGAGTGGGCCCCACTATAACCCGTGGGCACGCTGTACTCCTCCCAGTGAGTAGCAGATCCGCGTACCTGGAGACACCGCGTTATTCCGAGACCTTGGTACGCACACACCAAACTACACAGGTTCATTGGATAAGATGGCGCAAACGGTAACGCTTCTCTCTTGTGTAGGCTGGAATCTCTATGGGGATGCGAATTGTCTTTGTTTTCCTCAGTCTCTGCAGGCAGATGCCGAGGTGGTACCTTAAAGTTAGGGCAAGACCCTTTCCCTCCATATCATTCGCCATCCAGTCGCTTGTGGCGAGACCCTCATGAGGGTACGGATCTATGGGTAAATTTTATTTTGTATGTTAAGTTCACAGCCATGTTCAGCACTGCACACTTTCCCATCCTGAACCTGGGATACGTTTGTGCCTGGAGGTAATGTTGTGTTGGCAACATTGTCGCTTATAAAGTTACAGGTTTCATCTGCCTGCTTGGTCCTATCATGGAACCAGTAGCTTTGTCCAATCGCGGGCCGGAACTTACGTGGGACCAGAGGTAAATGTTAAGTTATATGTTGGTAGCGCATGTCATAGCAGTTGGGAAGGGGCAACTGATAGTGGAAGTGAGTTACTTTTGACAACTCAAGATTTTGGGTGATGGCGCCATATTGATGTGGACTGTGTCTCGAACATTTCGAATAAAATTACTGCCTACATCTTCACGGTTAGAAGACTCAACCAGATGATGAACAGTAGCCCTAGACATACGGGAGAGTGGTCCGGGACTGTGCCGACGAGTGAACTCGTTATCTCTCGTACTTCACCCTGAAGATGGAGGTAGAAGTTTTCTCCGAAACGTTGGCAACACGGCGCCATCATCCAAAAGCAGAATCGTGTTCGTGTTCTGCCCCAGGCAGAGATAAATGTTATGTTATAATGCCCGCCCCAAGGGTCTGTCGGAAGATGACGATGTCGAGGGCGGGGAGAGCCCCCTGGACGAGATGGACGATGACTTGAGCAACCAGAACAGCAGCAACCACCAGTCCCTCCATCCGCAGCAGCAGGAGTCAACGGCCACACTTCCGACCCGAGCTCCGTCTTCCCGCTCGGTTCGTAGAAACTTGAGCACCTCCTCAGAGCCCCCACTCACTTGAGGCGCCAGCCCACTTCGTACTACTTTGTCCACCACAAATCCCACATGCTCGAACCCGGGACGCCGGCATCAAACGTTCTTCACGTGAGGGTCAGTCTAGAAGCCTGTTCCGGCTTCAAATACACGATGCAAAGGAGGCCGTGATTAACAGAGGTATGCTGGCGGTAGCCAATTTACAGGTAGAGTCTCTTTCCGCACGGTCTGGAAGTTGGGTACCAGTCAACATAGCGAAGGAACGGCCGAAGTCGTTATCCTAGCCCTCAACTTTCGTGAGATTCGCTTTGAGCTGGTCACCTCTGTTGTAACTCACGAATGTCACGCATAATTACTCGAGATTATGGCTTCCATATTTCTCAGAGTTCTCTGTGAGCGAGGAACTGGATTTTTGAGCTTCATTGCTCAGTCGGGGTTAATAGAGGTTCTTTATTTTGCTTCGTGCCAGTTTTTTGTGTTGAGATGCCACGCTACAAGCCGGAAGGTCGCGGGTTCAAATCCCGATGTCATTGGATTTTTTTCAGTTGACCTAATCCTTCCAGCTACACTAGGCCCTGGGGTTTACTCAGCTTCTAACAGAAATGAGTACCAGGGATAAAATAATAATTTTCCTGAGGAGTAAAGCGCGGCCGGCGCGTAAGGCTGACAACCTTACCGCCATCTTTGAGCCGATTGTCTAGATAATGTGGGACCCTCAACGTCTCAACCCTATGGCCCTTCATGGCCTGGTACAGGGATAGCTTTACTTTTTTTTTTCTAATACATTTATTATTAGTAGATATCTGTTTGGGCTTCACGTAAAGCAGGCGTTATGTTTTGCCGGTACTAACCAAGATAACCCCCCCCCCTCTCTTTATTAAATTACATTTGTACCCATGAAGTAGTTTCAGACATGTAACACTATTTGACACCCTGTACGTCTCATGAGAGTGGGGGCTCTGCTGTTACCCCTTGCTTTGTACATAGTGTTTGGCGTGTTTTGACAGCACGCACGCACGTTTACTTCGCACATGGCTTTGGGGGGATGTTAGCGGGAGGGGTCTTGTTTCCATCTGTGGCTGTGCTGAGTGTTTCATATCGTAATTGGTGAGATGGTGCCTGCCGTAGGGTGCAATTTTAGCAGTCCAATTTCTCCGCGGAACCCGAAGAATTCTCGAGAAGGCAGAAGTTTCCGCGACATTTGTAGGTCAGAAGCAGAAATGTGTACCGAAATGGGGGACTGTTTTAAAATTTAGACTAAAATCTGGTATATGAAGGTAGTTAACGTATTTAACGAGCGAACGAAGTAACTTTAAAATTTACCGTCATGCTGTCTGTCACGTTTAGTACTGCCAATCTTAGAATCTATTCTTAAAACCAACGTCCATCTGCCTCCAACATAAAGTGCGCAAGGTTAGATTCATGGCTTTGTTTTTACAAATACGTCTCTGAAGGTCTCGTTTCGTTTATACAATTAAACTTCTGCTCTTGGCGCACTCGCGTAGGGGACAACATGGCGGTAAAATTTTATAGTTAGTTGAGTCACCTGTTAATACTCGTACTTACAGAGTTGGTATAGCGAGGACGGCAGGACGGCCGGCATTTGATTCCCGGCGGAGGCAAGAAATTGTTATCTCTTTACAGCACCCAGACCGCCTCTGGGTCCCACCCGTCTTTTCCAGTGGTTACCGTGGGTAAGGAGCCGGGACGTGAAGCTCACCATTCACTCCCGTCTAGTGCCAAGGTCTATAATCGTGGAGCCATACCTCCATTCTCCCATCTTCATGGCGTAAAGCTTAGTTAATTAAGCACGGAGACAGCTTTGCCTCATTCACTCATGGAGCTGAGCCTTCTGGAGGAGCCGCCAATTGTGCAGCTACTCAAAAACTTCCCAGCATTTTATGGAACCCGAAGGTTCATTACCGTTGTCAAGAGCCCTCCACTGGTCCCTATCCTGAGCCAGATCAATCCAATCCATATCATCCCATCCTGTGTCCCGAAGACCCATTTTAATATTGTCCACCCACCTACGCCTTGGTCTTCCCAGTTGTATCTTTCCTTCTGACTTTCCCACCAACATCCTATATGCATTCCTCTTCCCCCATTCGTGCTACATGCCCTGCCCATCTCATCGTCCTTGACTTGATCTTTGACGACTTTACCTTTTGCGTTGTAACTGTACGAGTAGGCAGAATAGCTCAATAATTGGGCGCTTCGTCAGTTCGACTCGTCACAGTGGAGGTATCATCAAGCAGCAGGGCCACGTAGGCAGGCGTAAGTTTTCCGCAGTAAAGGTTGCCGGAATTGGGGTGGGGCCCAGCTACAGGGAGCACAGGAGCATAGGCGCCGGGGTTGTGAGGCTTTCCGCCGGCAGCTAGCTATTGGTGTACCCCCCAGGTCTTCCATCGGTCTGTGTTATTTGTCTCCTCTCTCAGTCTGCATCTTCCAGTGATCTCGGTCTTGTCCCTCCCGTTTCTACCTTCTGGCTTACTCTTCACAAGCTCCTTTATCTGCCTCCACTTTGGAACTCCCCGACCACACCAGCTTTCTCATTTTCATATCTGCTGCGAGGTCATGGGTTTCATATGATTCGCTCGGTTCTGGGTTCTGGTCACTAGCGCAACTGGAGGCTACACTTGTCGGATTTCGACCAAATTTAGTATTGGTGGTCTTAAAGTTGTCGGGTAAATTTAGTGTAGATCTACTTTGTGTGTGGAAGCTTCCCATAAACTCCTTCCTGATTCCGATGCTTCCCCTGCCTGAAGAGGCTTCGGCAGTTTTTTGTTGTTTTCGATGTATTGTTCTGTCATGTGTATTTATCGCTTTTTTCGTTTCTGTACAGTATCTGCATGTTGCCGGGGTTCTCACAGCGGGGACTAAGCCAAGTAATGTTTCCAGGATGTGACGCCGTGTAGTCCGAAGCCAGGTCATCTTGTTGGTTGCACTGCCGGCTTATTCTTCTGCCTTGAAGTTGCAGGCAGTACGTTCTTCTCCGAAACGTCGGACTTCCACTGGGCTACATGGCGTCACTTCCCATAACACTACTCTCTAAATTTCTATGGTGGCTGTGTCAAGGTTTACTCATTTGCTCATCCCGCTGTAGATGTACATACCTGCGCATGCGCCTTTGTCAGTTACGCCATGTTCTTAGCGGTTTGCGTTTTAAAATGTGGTAGAGCCGTGTGTGGGTGTGGCAACACTGTAAATATAAGGGGTTGAAGTTTTTTGCGTTAAGAATCAGGCAATGAACGTCCTGTACAGGTCACGGAACAGCGCCCGGATGACAGGACAGGATAATGCGTCTGTAAATGGGGATTTGGTACCCGACAGAAGCAGCGATGTAGGCCAAAAGGCCTCTGGGGTACAGTGACAGCGTGAAGTTAAATGTTTTGCTTTCATGTAGTGTCGCCGTTTAGAATGTCTCCAAGCCCCCTATACGCCTTCATGCCGTGGTACTTAGGCAGACAACTCGTAACAGGTTCAAGAGTTTGCGAAAGACCGTAGTTCAGTTGTATACAAGTCTCGTTTGTTCAGTCGGTACCGAAGCTCTTTCCAGCCATTTTTCTGGTTATCATTTGATGCAAGACTTGCCGTGGCTGGGTCATCAATCATTTGACTCGAGACTTGCATAAAGACTGCTTGAATGGTACGAGAAGACTCGGGCTAATCCATTTGAACTTTTGGCGTGAACATTGCGTTAGGACTGTTGCAGTATATTGAAAGACAGTTTTGCAAGATGGTGAGTTCCTTCGTACAGTCCACAAAGCTCTACAGTATCTTTGCGTATAGTACCCGTACATTGTGTTTTATGGGCAAATCTGTGTTGCCTGTACATGTATTTTTAAACAGTGTAGTTATGTAAATTATTCGTATGCTAGGGCATTGCAGCTATTGTATGTGTGGAACATCTCTGAGGGTACATCACGCCCTGAACAGGCAACCTTACGGCAGAAAAGTCCCTGTTTGTTCAGCGAGACCTCCGATATAACGTATGTTGAAGATAGAGTCTGGTAGTAGAGTGAATTTACCGACTACACAACACGTTTTTATTATCACATTATCACTACATGTTTCGACCTCAAGAGGTCATCTTCAGGTGTATGAACACGGCTGTATAATTACACGCGGCCACATTTACTTTTCACTCACTCGACCTTGTATCTATTCCAGACTTACGCTCACTAATATATCGAGTTCTTTTTATAAAACACAGGTTAAAATTATTATTCTAATTTAATTGTTAGAAGTTAAAAGTTCGTGAATCGAGGTTCAATTCATGTCACTGGATCAGTACTCATCACGACAACGATCATAACAGATCCAGCAGCATCAGAGAACGCGGAAGAACAGCGAGACCTCACAAACAAGTGAAAGTGTAACCAGTAACATAAGTTGAACCTCAATTCACGAACTTTTAACAATAATAATAATTAAANCAACAATACCTCTCCAGTCACTGTGTTCGGTTTCATGTGTCTGAAGTAATGTACATAGGAAATTGGTGGTATCCGCGCCATCTTCTGGGATGTGACGCCGTGTAGTACTATATAAGTTGTCCGATAAGTAAGAGCTCTGCGTGTTTTGCTTCCTCTTCGACCCTGAACGAGGCGTACGTTCTTCCGAAACGTCGGTGAAATTCTGGCGGACTGCACGGTGTTACGTTCAACAGTGTAGCACTCTTCAGCGCGTAAGAGTCATTGTCAGTGTATTTTTAATTGTTTTTCTCTCTCTTCTTGCAGTATGCTGCCAAATCCAACAGCATTGCCGCGGCGGGCAACAAAGGTAAGCTGCTAGGCGTAAGGTTCCTCTGTCTGAAGACGAGTGCCGCTCCTTGCCTTGCAAACCTGCCCATTTAAATTCAGCACAGTGAAACACAATTGTTCTAAAATCCATCGACATTAAATCAGACAACCAAAATTCCATGGCCTCTGCCTCAAACCACTATTTCTGATCATTCTGACGTCTTCAGCTTTTTAGTACGCTATCAGAAGGACGAACGGGCGAAGCCTGGGAACCTTCTAAAAGCAATAAAATATAGGTTCTCACGGCGGTGAGTGTGAAGAATACTGTCTTTTGGGTAGTGACGTTAGTTTGAGGTTTACCGACGTTTCGAATGAACTTAACTGCATGCATTTTAGCTGTCGGAGAGTAACTTATTGCTTGCTTGACTTTTATACCATGAAGGCAGTACGTTCTTTCGAAACGTCGGTGAAGTTCTTCCAGACTGCATGGCGTAACATCCGACTAGATGGTACTCTGCTGTGGGATTTCGCCTTTATCCTAAAGCGCGCTTGTAGCATCTTAATCTGTTCTGAATAGCTCAGTCAATACAGTGACTAGAGCTCAGAGACTTGTCTCCTTTCCACTCCGTTCAGACCGGGCCACCCAGCCTCCTGTCCAGTGTGCACAGGCTCTTCAGTCGGGGCTAAAGCGGCCACTCTACTCCGCGTTTCAAGGCATTCGCCTGGAGAGACTGAGGAAAGTCACGAAAATCTCGATCAGGATAGCCGGAGTCTCAGCAGCGATTCGAATCGCGAACCTCCAGAATACAAGTCAGACGAATTATCGACGGAGCCGCCACCGCTCTCGGTCCCCGTAGGCTTCTTGGCGGTGTGATTCATTAATCCGAACCCAGAGGTCGTTGATCCCCGTGGCCACGTGCCACGTCAACAAAGTGGAAATGTGTGTTCAGTTTGAGTGCCTGATTATACAGACGCGTCCTTCGTGAACTGACAAGCCCTTGTGATCATGCTCATCGAAATTAATTTAAGAGAACAAGTCTTCTCTCCCGAGGACACAAGCGTTCAGGAGCTTCCTTAACAAAATCGGCCCGGTTTATCTGCACTCGTTTTAACAAAATCGGCCCGGTTTATCTGCACTCGTGAAAACGTTCTCGCTCCTCCACCCCCCAGAAAGAAATGTCGGCGGCCTCCATGCTCAGGGGAGAAATGAGTATGGGGCAAGTGTGAACTGATAATTAGCAGGGGAAAGCCGAAGAAAATCGGAGAACGACCTGCTTCGGTGCCACTTCGTCCATCACGAATGTCACGAGGTAGCCCGGAATTGAACCCGAAGCTCCGCGGTGGGAAGCCACCTCATGAACTGTGGCACAGCATAAATCAGACATAGATACACACATTTCACGCTATGCGCTAAGGTTACATGGGGCGCGTGGAAGTTTGTTTTGTTGATGCGAGGTCGCGTGGTTTCACTGTGTACCGCTTCACAGTTCCGGGCTTGGATCGATCGCCGGTCGCCGGCTGGCGATATAAAGACGGATTCTCTTTAGTCACGACCTCAGTGTCCGTGAGCACCTGGCGCTTGTGTTTCGGACAAGTTCTTTACAGAAGAGAAGGCGAGGCAAGTGCTTTGGCTACTGTGTCGTTCATTTAGTGACAGGATTGGCTTCGTCGTAGCAACGGTAGCGTTGCTTGCACCGCACTGGCTGACCGGCCTTGGTAATTGCCTCGCCTTCGCTTCGTTGGAGAACAGAGGCAGGAAGGCATGCAGTGCAAAATCCCACGTCTGATATAGTTAGGGTGATTAGATATGGGGATAGAACATGTAAGGGGCAACTTGCGAGACCTATGCAGGAATAGGATAACATTAAACTAGATGTTACAGAACTAGCGTGTGAAGATATGGAGTGGATTTAGAGTAGGGTCCAGTGCCGAGATTTTATCGCCACGCCGATGAAACTTCGGGTTAAGTACAGTTGATCGCCGATTTCTCAACACCGAGGCCCGGATTTAGTCCGAGGGTGGTGAGTGTGGGATTTGTGGCTAACAAAACAGCACCGAAGCAGGATTTTCTCTGATCATTATGTTTTCCCTTTAAAATATTTAAGGTGTGTCCAGGTTCTAGTTTCAAGGGAACGCGGGAGCCATTGTTTCCTTAAGGTGTGTCCAGATGCTAGTTTCAGAGGAACGTGGGACCCAGCCTGTCCCTTAAGGTGTGTCCAGGTGATAGTTTCAGAGGAACGTGGGACCCAGCCTGTCCCTTAAGGTGTGTCCAGATGCTAGTTTCAGAGGAACGTGGGACCCAGCCTGTCCCTTAAAGTGTGTCCAGGTGCTAGTTTCAGAGGAACGTGGGACCCATTGTCCCCTTAAGGTGTGTCCAGGTGCTAGTTTCAGAGGAACGTGGGATCCAGCCTGTCCCCTTAAGGTGTGTGCAGGTGCTAGTTTCGGAGAAACGTGGGACCGAATCTATTCCGTTGCGGTGTGTCCAGGTGTGAGGCTGCATGTACAGTCCGTCCCCATGTGCTTCTCAATGCTCCTGTACAGACGGCACAAGGCTGTGAGCCCAGTGCCCGACAAAGTGACCCGCTTGGAGGTGCTGCCCGCACCCCTTGCTCAGACCGAGGGTGAGTTTCAGTGCATGACAGAAGCTGCAAGTTTGCCTCCTCCCTCAGAAAGGGCTTGCCACGATTCCTGTGCTCCTGTATCCCGCATGTGAAGCCTGCCAAAGCGTTATAAGTGCGCTCTCTGTCTCACGCGATGGTAACATCAGACATTATGAACTTTTTCCCCGAAGATGGACGCATCATATTTCTCTGAAACCTTAAATACCTACATGACCGCATGTTAAAGGTGAGGTAAAGTTATCCCTATGCTTAATTAAGTAAGCACTATGCCATGAAGATGTATCGGGAAGTGGAGGCATAGCTCCTATTTTTTTCGCACTACGCTGCATGTTAGAACCACAAACCTAGGCTGAGGTATTCGTGACTCCTTGTACGGAATCCAGATATGCGCTTCGCTGTTCCCAGGAGCTCTGCACCGGTGTAGAGCGCCTGGTAAAATCCCTTCGGATGTCAGGGAACAGCTCGGGAACACTGGACGATTTTCAAGAAATTCCATGTTGGAGAGTTCTAGTAAACGCCGTTTTCACATTCCAGTTTTTGTTGAAATCCGACAAAAATAGCGAGCACATACACGAACACGCAGTGCATTTCTGCGTGTGTCTCGAGCTTAGCCCCGTGAATATTCATCTGGGCGGTTAAAAGTTGCAGAGGACGTAACGCTTCTGCCGCCTGTCCTGTGACCTCGAGGGTCATTAATTTCGTGCGTTTTCATCCGTCAGCAGTGATTTCCCTAACAGAGAGCTCAGCGGTTTTCCGAACGTGTCAGAGATTACTGAACGCTAATAACTAACAGAACGTCCTCCCGCCTCAATGTACATACATACACACATACATACATACATACATGCAACACATGCAGCGGGTGTAAGATTGTTGCATGAATATAATTTAACCGCATAAGGTAGAGGCCCTACCACGTATTATCAGTTGTTTGTAACCATTAAATTTTCATCAGTAAATTAAAAGTCGTGTGAAACTTTGTCTTTGGCATTAAGGGAGAAACAGAGTCAAGGTGTTTGAGAACAGGGTGCTGACGAGAATGTTTACACTGAAGAAGAATGAAATAACAGGAGGCTGGAAAAAATTGCATAACGACGAGCTTTCTAATTTTCACTCCTCGCCAGTTCTTATGGTGACGATGACGTCAAGGAAGGTTAGATTGACAAGACATATAGAACACTCGGGACAAGAGAGGAATGCATACAGGGATTTGTGGCTTTCCCACCGAAATTTTATATGCATTCCCCCGTGCGTTCTACGTGCCTTTCCCATCTCATCCCCTTGACTTGGCAAAGAGTACAAGTTATGATGCTTCTCATTATGCAGTTTTCTCCACCCTCCTATAACTTCACCCCTCTTCAGTCTCAATATTTTCCTCGGCGCCCTGTTCTCAAACACCCTCAGTGTGTGCTCTTCCCTTAATGCAGAGATCAAGTTTCACACCCATACATAACCACAGGGAAAATTATAGTTCTATATCTTCTGATTTTTACGTCATTAGACAGCAGACGAGAAGACAAAAGGATGGACACTGGAACAGTGAATGAAATCAGTCTTTTGAATGTTTACAGTTGATGATGGAAACCGTTCAACATATTACCAGCGTACACGGCAACAGGCCAGACCTACCAACATAATTCCTGCTCTGAATGGACATGGAGACCAGCAGAATGTGGCCATGGCACGAGGCGTGGAGAACATCGCTCCAACTCCTAGTACACCCACGGTCGCCAGTGTTGCGGCCAGACAACAGCAGCTGCAGCAACAGCTTCAGCAGCAACAGCAGGCTGCTTTGGCAGGAGCTCAAGGTACTTCTTCTGCAGAGGTTGCACTCAAGGAGGTGGGAGGATTCTGTATTTTATCTACACTTTATTAACCGATGCTCGGAGTTCAGAATATACAACATCGTAGGGTGGGGTGATTGTCCAGTAGTAATTTGAAAGGAATGTGAACTGAAGCAGCCATGACATAATTCAAGGTACTACATTGGCATTTGCATGATGGGGTCATGGAAAACCTTGACTCTATACTGTCAGTCCATATACCTGTAGGCAGTAGGCCATCTGAGATACAGATCAGATACAGATCAAGTGGTGTGCCGTCCAGTTGATATGTACACCGGGTGGAGGGTGGGGGGTCCCAGTATGGATCCTATTCATGTCACAATCCAGAAGATAGAACTCTTTAAAATAGTTAATTTAATCCTGGTTAGTCACAAATGAACCCTTTGCTTTGAAATGCAACCTCAGTGAAACATCAACTGCCAAAGTATACCATGGTGCAAGATGAACAGAGTATCTGTTAAGTATCTCAGTTCAAACCGTTGCCAAGTTCTGGCTGTTCTGTAGTTTTTCTTAGTCTTTTGAAGTAAATTCCAATTAGGCCACAGCCACTTCCAAATCCTATTGTATCTGTGATCCTACCATTTGATGCTACGTAATCTAGCCACTGATTGTGTCCTAGAATAACCTGCTAGAAAGTACTACTACAGGATGTCCCATAAGTATGGAGCCATAAGCGGTATTGGAATCAGGAACTCATTTCTAGTCAGATTAACCCGTAACACGTGTCAGCTTCACAGCCATGCTGTCTGTGTAACTCGCTGTGATATAGTGGTCAAAGTTATGGAAACACTGGGCTGCCTGACACCCAGAATGGCCACACGTTTCACTTGTGGATCATTTTGGTACAGGAGGACGGGGACGGAGGAGTAATGTGGTGAAGGAAGTTGAGCGACTGAAGAAGAACCGGGAGGAACGGCGTCAGAGACAGGCAGAACTGAAAGAGGAGAAGGAAGTTCTCATGAGCATGGATCCTGGTAACCCCAATTGGGAGTTCCTTGCTATGATCAGGTGTGTACCTCATGCCTTCCCCTCCTAGTAGTGTTGTTTCAGTTCTCAGAGCAGTCATGCGGAATGTGATACGTTGTAGTCTAGTGAGTATGTGCCCATATTTCAGAGGATCCTTCACGTAGAGGCACTGGATTCCTGATGTTGCCACCTGCCTTCCGGACTACATGGTATCACAGTCCAGAATTGTTGCAGTTTTGTTGCTCCATCACTGTGGAGTGTAGTTGCTGAACATCACATTTTGGTGGCTAGCATTCACGAGGTTCTGGCCCAAATCTTTGCCCCTGAGACTCGTGTTAACACATTTGACGTTTGTCTCGTGTAAAATGATGCTGTTTAGCCTGTTCTGCCTCCATCTTCAGGATAGAATTGTCAGTTGTTTACCTTGGCAGTTGCAGCATCTCCCACCAAAACCATGCTACCCATACACCACAGTACACAGTGAGATGCCCCACAAAACATTAAGCTCCATAGTCACTGCCGTGAGAAATTCAAATCTCATAGATTTTCACGGTTTTCCTTGAACGTTCCAAGTCAGTGCTGGGATAGGCTTGGACTTCTGAATAGATTCTTACCATTGGGTTTTCTGATCTCCAGGAAATGAGCTGCATGTCCCGTCCATCTCAGTCCCCTTGATTTCATCATCCCAACAAAATTGGGTGGAGAGTCCTCCTGTTATTTGATTGATCAAGATTCTCCTTGTCCGCTACAGTTGTGTTTGTGGGCATCGCTTGTGAACAAGTTGTATTCTCTAATGCCCAATGAAGGCTTTTCTATGGAGCAGTGGATTTGGCCAGTAAAGGGGAGAAATTCTTAACTGGGGAGCATCGAATGGGAGTTCTGGAGCTTTATGATCAGGAATAATTATTTTTAATATAGGTGTCAAGTTGGGGCACGCGGTAGCGTAGTGGTTGAGGGGCTATGCTACAAGCCGGAAGGTCGTGGGTTCAAATCCCAATGAGGTCATTGGATATTTTTCAGTTGACCTAATCCTTCCAGCCGCACTAGGCCCTGGGGTTTACTCAGCCTCTAACAGAAATGAGAACCAGGAATTAATTAAATAATTTTCCTGGTGAGTAAGCGTGGCCGGCGCGTAAGGCTGACAACCTTACCGCCATCTTTGAGCCGATTGTCTAGATAATGTGGGACCCTCAACGTCTCACAACCCTACGGGCCTTCACGGCCTGGTAGAGGGATAGCTTTACTTTTTTTTTACTTTTAGGTGTCAAGTTACTTGATATGAACTTGACATTAACATGCTTAAGAAAGGTTATTTTTCAGTGACAGCTGTTAAATAATAATAATCTTCGGCTAAAGGAAAAATAGGATTCCTAAATGACTACAGTGAACGGTATTCAAATTAACTGACTTATGTATTTTTCAATTGGAGCCAGGATAGCGCAGTCAGTATAGCAACTGAGAATTTTGGGTTTTAGTCCCAGAAGGGTCAAGAATTTTCTCTTCTCCATGTCATCCAGACCAGTTCTGGGGCTCACCCAGCCTCCTATCCAGTGAGTACTGGGAAGTGGCAGGGGTGTGAACCTGACCACTCACCTCCAGCTAGTGCCGAGGTCAAGAAAATATGGATCTATACATTCATTCCTCCATTCAATTAAAATTGAAGGCAGTGAAACCAAAAGCCACAATTAAATTAAGATACTTTGATAATGACTGTACAGATTTTCCATTTGTTATGATTCCACTCGCCAAATCCCAGCGGCTGTGTCGCCTCTAGTTCTGTTGCTGTGTTCTCACTGAAATCTCTGCCGTGCAAGTGTTCGTCAGTTTCAGTGTTTTCGCGGATGTGGTCCATTGGTACCCATGTATATGTTGCTGCTACTGACCCTACTATATTGTGGTTTCCAGGGAATACCGTAACGGTATCGAGTTCCGTCCCCTGCGAGAGTCAGACCCCGTGGAGGATCATCAGATCACAGTTTGCATCAGGAAGAGGCCACTCAACAAGAAAGGCAAGTCTGGTCACCTTCTTGTTCATAAGTTTATAATTCAGCTTCAGGGCATTGGAATTGTGTGAGGCGGCTAGTCACCGGCTTCCCACCAGCCCGGCGGGTCAGGTCATGTGGGATGTGTGGTGGACAAAGCGGAACTGGGGCAGGTTTTCTCTGAGTACTTCGGTTTCCACTGCCAGTCTCCATTCCTCCATTTGTTACACAGTCACCATAATCTGTCATCTGGGTCCAGTACAATAAGCCAATAGCAGCCGCAGTACCAAGTGGACTCGGTCTCACCCCACTAAGAATAATAAAGAAGAAAACAAATAATAATAATATTTGTGTGAGGGGACCAAGGCGTAGGTGGGTGGACAATATTAAAATGGGTCTTCAGGACACAGGATGGGATGGTATGGACTGGATTGATCTGGCTCAGGATAGAGACCAGTGAGGGCTCTTGTTAACACCGTAATGAACCTTTGGGTTCCATAAAATACTGAGAAATTCTTGAGTAGCTGCAGAATTGGCTGCTCCCCAAGAAGGGCTCAGCTTCATGAGTAAGTAAGTAATTGTGTGAGGGCACATGATCATCGGGTAGCAACACAGTTCTGTTAGAATGTTATTAGATTCTATCATCAGCATAAGATGGGAACCAAAATCATCATATGGGAGATCTCACTGACCATGCAGCACTCTTCCCCCCCCTCCCCCCGATATGGTTGCCCACGCATGGCATAATGTACCCGCAGAGATGTTTTAGGCAGGGGATTATAATAACGTAGCGAGTGCTAGGACTGACTGACCACCGGTCGCAGAGTCACTTTGATTTTGACAGCGATTGCTGGCCCAGTGTTTTGCCTCTAATGCCATGCTCCAACAAGTTTCGGCACTGTGAGGTACTGCAGCTGCTGAGATCATGGAGCTTAGTGGTGTCTTCAGAACTTTGCCTCACCGCACAGTTCATCTCGCTGCCACAGAGGGCACCAATGTCCACTCTCTCATGCTTGAGTATGTTTTCATGCTGTTGCAGTGTGTCATTTGGTTGTACGTTAGCTTTGAGAGACTATCTGCTGGGTTGTTGTATGCTACAGAAATAATCACCATCTGAGACACTTCACAGTGAGTGATGCAGGTGAACATGGTGAACTGAGGCTAAAGATATCAAACATTACGATGATGGCCAGTGTGTTAAGGAGTGGTACATAATTATTAGATGTGAAGAATAGACCATAGCCTTTAGATCAGTTAATTTAAACTTGTGTTACGGCAAGTTGAACAAGTTTAAAATATTCATGATATTGACTTTGAGACAGTTTTGTTTTGTTCACAGAAAAATGTGTGATGTTGTTCTTGTTAATGTCTGTGCTGTGTTCGTTACGAGAAGCAGTGTTTGCGATGTGTTGCAGAGGTGGCCAGGAAGGAGGTCGATGTGATCTCAGTGCCCAATAAAGACCAGATTGTCGTACATGAGCCCAAACTCAAAGTGGATCTCACAAAGTTCTTGGAGAACCAGCATTTCAGATTTGACTACGCTTTTGATGAGACCTGTGGCAATGACTTGGTTTACAAGTGAGTACAGTGCTGATTGAGGGGAGGAAAGAAATTTCCTTATCTCTCTTTTTGTTTCCTGTCTTTATGTCCGTTATTTTGACCCTCTTGGTCATTACGGTAAAGCTGTAGAAGATGATGCACTGTGGGGATATAAACACATTCCAGATTGAAATAAAATCTTGATATGCCTCTCCTCAGATACACAGCAAAGCCTCTAGTCCAAACAATCTTCGAGGGGGGGATGGCAACGTGTTTTGCGTATGGGCAGACAGGAAGTGGCAAGACCCATACGATGGGCGGTGACTTCCAGGGCAAGACACAAGACTGCAAGAAGGGAATCTATGCCATGGCTGCCAAAGATGTCTTTAAGTTCCTCAAGTCGCCAAAGTATAAGGTCAGTGGCTGACATTTAGGGTGTACTGTGAAGCCCCCATTCAAGGTTGCCCGAGGTGCAAGTGGATTTGAACACAAACTGAGGAAAATCTTAAAATAGGGGTAACTGAACACAGATTAATTTTGGATCATTGTAAATGGAGGAAGACCTCAAATTGAGGAACATTAAATGTGAGTTGACCGTATGTTTTGTGGTCAGGAGTAAATTAGTTGGAACTGCTGGAACGTCATAGTGCACTCGCTTGTGTTATCTGTGCCAGATGGGCCCTGCTGCCCCATACCTCTCTGTGGTTTTGTTTATGCAGCTGTATCACTCTCACATTAAGGTAAGAACTGAGGACAACTTTTGGGCCCAAGAGGGAAGGAGTGACAGGAGGACAGAGAGAATTTCATAATGGGGAACTTCATAATTTGTACTCTGCACTGGATATTGGTAGAGTGAGGAAATGAGGGAGGCTACATTTGACCTTATATAAATAAATGCGCAAAATATCTCAGCTTATCATGATAAATAACTTGGACACAGACATTCCTTCTGTTAAATGTAAACTGTATGCTTTTACAGTTAATCTGAATGTGTTCCAGAAACTTAAGTCATTTTGTGAGAAAGCTTAACTGTCAAATTGTGAATAGACTTCCAGGGATAGGATGTGCCCATTTGTGTTCCTTTGACTTCAGACACAGCTGTGAAATGGTTAAATATGTTTTATCAGGTCCTGAACTTGATGGTGTCGGCAAGCTTCTTTGAGATCTACAGTGGCAAGGTCTTCGATCTGCTGGCAAATAAAGCCAAGTTGCGTGTTCTTGAAGATGGCAAGCAGCAAGTGCAGATCGTGGGGCTGACTGAAAAAGTAGTTGACTCAGTGGATGAAGTCCTTAAACTTATACAGCATGGTAACACTGCCAGGTAACAGCACATGTAAACAACAGTATGGATGTTCTCGGGCGCTTACCATGGCCTGTTTGTCTCAATTTGGGAAACAGCTAGAAGCTTCAAGTATTTCTGGACTCTGATATTAAGACAAGGGGATAAAGCCAATACCTCTACTGGGAGCCAGACCCTTATCAGTCTGATAGCGTCCCACTCATAGTATTTACTGTCGTTCTGAATTAAATTAGCTGAAAGCTGAGTCCCTTCCTGTGACACCATTGATACAGTCATCTGTTTGTTGCAGGACATCAGGGCAGACATCAGCAAACTCCAATTCTTCCCGGTCTCATGCAGTATTCCAGATCATAGTCCGGACACCTGGCATCAATCGTATCCATGGCAAGTTCTCATTGATCGACCTAGCGGGAAATGAGAGGGGAGCAGATACGTCCTCTGCAAATAGGCAGACAAGTAAGTGTATTGTATTGTGATGCTGTGTTGTCTGGTAGAAGTCTGCAAACGTTTTGGATGAACGTAGTGTTCCAGTCTGAGGATCTGAGAGAAAACAGAGCAAGCGATACATGAAACTGTGGTTCAGGAGCCCAGCCAGAACCAGTAGGAGGAATGACTGAGAAGAAGGGTCATCACAAAATGGTGAGGTGGGGGAGACCAGTGGACCTGGGGAATAACAGGGGCTGTAGGCAGTGTGGTGGGGGATGAAAGGAGGAAACAGGTACAGGTGAGGCCCTTCTGGGGGTCAACACAGGTTACTCTTGCTCCAGTTGATTCTCCCTGGACTTCTTTCTAGGCCAGTGCCTGAACAGTCTCTTCCGCATGTTCAGCTCACTGGTTTCTTGGTATATTCTTCAGCCATGAAGATGGTGGCGGTACATTCCTCTGAAACCTGATGAACTTCTACCAGACCACATGGTGTCACATTTCAGAAAATAATATTCTTTAAAGTGAGTGTATTGTCTGCAGCAATATACCTGAACACTTCTTGATCTGTTGCTTTTCGCAGACTGCACTGTACAGCCATTGAATATTCAGCTGCAAAGAGGTACCCCTGTTACAGACCCAAGACTTACCTCAGTCTAGTGTTTGTGGGTTAAGGAACAAGTTGCCTGTGCCATTATCACAATCCTTGATCCAGCACGATTATGATTTTCTTTTTTCAGCTTCATCACTGCGAAAGCTTGCCATAGCTCCCTAACCTCTCTGTCTGATATGCATATACTTCAGTACTGGCTGAAGCACCTGTTTCGTGCTTGCTTTCCCTTAACAATAAGCTGGTTATAAGAACCAAGGGATATGATATGCAACATCTGTTTAGCACTGGGGCACCACATAATGATAACTTTATGGCTGTGGACACCAATCTAAAAGGTTATGATCATCTGTTACACTGAAAGTTACTGAATGTTTGGACTTTGTCCATCATCTGATATTCTAAAGAACACCATCACTGTATCCAGGGATTGAGGTGGGCTCTAACAGACTGGACTGAATTTTTCAATTGATTTCATGATATGTAGTAAAGAAAAGTGCAGAATAACTATGATGTGGATAACCGATGCAGTCTTGCAAACCTTAAGGGGCTTATTTTTAAGCCATATCAACCTGGCAACATTAATTTAAATAAATATTTTTTAACTTTATGGGGTCTAATTTTTAATTTGTGTGCTTATTTCATAAACCTGATCATTGCAGGGCAAATATTTGTATCAACATATCAGAAAAATGTTATGTTTTTTGTATTGCATCCCACAGGTGGATGGTATCTGAGACACAGTGTGGCCCCTCACTGGTTTCAAATTTGAAAGCCAGTGGGTTAACTTAGTTTTCCAGGATATGTGTCACATTCACTAAACAGAATCTTTTCTGGTTGCACAAAGGGATGGAAGGTGCAGAAATTAACAAGTCACTTTTGGCTCTAAAGGAGTGTATCAGGGCGTTGGGCAGGAAAGGTGCTCATCTCCCGTTTCGAGCCAGCAAGCTCACCCAGGTGCTTCGAGACTCCTTCATCGGGGAAAAATCCAAAACATGTATGGTGAGTGTTGTGATGCAGAGTTCTGTGTTTTCTGTGCATAAAGCGCATGAACATATGTTGATGAGCTTACGTACATCTGTAACAGATTTTGATCAAGTTTCATCCTGAGGACATATGTGAAAAGTTATGGGGGAACATTTTGTTACCCCACTGTTTACTCTCTGCCTTTTAATTGTTATTGCAAAACATATCATGTTATTAATTTTACTGCTGTTCATTTTAGTCTCTTATGAATGTTATTTTTTCATTTTCACTGAAAAATTTAATTTAAACTGATTAATATGACATCGCGGCACATTTTAGAAGGACGTGGTGTATGATTGGTTGATCCTGAGCATGTCTTTTTCTGTGTATATGTATCCACCTGAAATAGGAGTGAAACTTCCCTTGCAATGTGCGTCAGTCACCCTAAATTCTTTTTGCCACAAGATGGACTGATACACTGTGCTTATGTTCTGGATTGTAGATAGCGATGATTAGTCCAGGCATGAGTTCATGTGAACACTCTCTCAACACACTGCGGTACGCGGATCGTGTCAAGGAACTGGCAGCCAATGATCCCATGGAGATGAAGATATCTCCTAACAGTGAAGGGGAGCCCATGAAGGTGGAGAATAACGGTGCACTGGAAGATAGTGATCTTGCCCAACTTCGATCCTTAAATGTAAGTCTGCTGGTTAGTGTTGCATTATGGGCCATGCTGTAGTTGAGGTGGTTAGCTGCTGGTCTCTCATTGTACAGGGTAGTTAATATGGGATTTGTGATGGACAATGTTGCAGTGTGGTAGCTTCTTCCCCTGCCATTTTGTCATATCATCTGGCGAGGCTATGGTACCAAGGGACTCTGTCCCCCCCCCCCACTGCTACAACTACTGCTACATCTCTCCTTCATATGTGGTACTGCCCCTATAGAGATACTGAAGTTGTAGTTTCCTGAAAAGTCAATGGATTTAATTGAACTGATCATGCTACTCAGTTGGCCTTTGCGAGTAGCGCCAGATACACTCATGAATCATGACTATGTTCAGTGTCATTACTGCTGCAGCAGAGCTTGCCCCTTTGCAAGAGCAAGAAGTTTACAGGCTTCTCACTTACCAGATAGTTTTAGTGGCAGAGGTTTGAACTAGTATCTGGGAGGTGCTTGGTTCAAATCTTGGCTGGAACAATGGCTGTCCTGACAGTTTTCCCCACTGACTGCTTCATTCCGAATCGCACCGGCTTCTCAGCATGGAGACAGATGTTTGCGTCACAAGCTCTCAGTGTGTTCAAAAGGTTAATTACTGTGGATGTGTTGCAGGAAGGAGAGATCTCAGCGGACCTGTTCACCTTCCACGAGGCAGTTTCACAGCTGCAGCTACTGGAAGAGGAGGTGTTAGATGCTCACACCAGTCTAGCAGAGATGGGGCCCATGTGGACCGGGCACGACCATGCCTTGCTAGCCATGACAAATGATGTAGACTATGACCAGGACGGTGAGATTGCCAACAGCTGTAATCACTGTAGTACCCAGAACAAGCAGCTTCATGGCTGTAGGCGCTGTTACAGCTCTCGAAAACATAGGAGACCATTGGCTTCGGGAACTAGAGCAGTCGTGTTGTAATCCATTCCTCACATAGACAGGCTTATGAGTTTCAGGGTAATGCCCCTGCCAGATGAAATTTGGTCTCTCAGACACATTCCCCAAATAGACATAAACTTTGCTATGAAGACATTTCCCCAGAGTGGAAGGAGGTTTTGTACCAGAACATCCTGCTGTAATTACAAGGCAGCTGCTAGTTAATCTGGGACCATATTATATGTGCCTGATATGTTAGCCAACTTTCCTGTTCCGTGGCTTTGGCACTAGCTTGCTCCGCCATTTGTGAAAGAGAGTTGGCACAGCCGCAGGGCAACTATCATTATGCCAGTTGTTGCTTTCCGGTAAGATCAAGTTTGGCAGTTGACTAACAGTTCTGATGTAGTAGTGTAAACATTTACAGAATGGTGGGTGTGAGGTTCTCACATCAGCAACTACAAAGAGTGCTGCTGTCTTCTGGGATGTGTCACTCCATACTCTGAGAGAAGTTCCCCAATGTTTCAGAGGAACATACTGTTCTATTTCCTTCTTCTTCTTCTTCTTCTCCTCTCTCTGTTTTTTTTTCTAGTGGGGTGGGACTAGTCCCTTGCACTACAGCCACTTCTGGCCTATTGTACCAGCCCCAGATGATAGGTGAGGGTGATTGTGGAGCAACTGGTGGAATGAAGATTGGCAGGGGAAACCGAAGTACTCGGAGAAAACCTGCCCCATCGCCAGTTTGTCAACCACAAACCCCACTTGACCAGAACCGGGATCGAACCCAGGCCGCCACAGTGGGAAGCCAGCAGCTAACTGCTTGAGCTATGGCGCGGCCTACATATCCATCTTGCTTCTTACTGGTTTCATGCTTGGCTTATTCGTTGACCCTGAAGAATGAAGCAGTATGTTACTCTGAAACATCTCTGAATGTTTATTAGACAACACAGCATCACCTCCCATATGTTAGTATCATATGTTTACAGAACTGTGTTAACCTTGTTAATATTTGTAGCTGAATGCATTTGTAATTTTAGTGATCTACAGACATTTGCACTGTAATGGCTTTGCAGCTGGTAGAGGGCTCTGTGCTTGGAAAATACCAGGTCTTCTCTTTATTTTTTTTTTCTGCTTCTTTTCCACCTTATACAGATGAAAAGTCTCCAGTCTCTTCATTCTTCCTACCTTTTTCCTTTTCAATTGCTTGCCAGCTTTTCCCTCATTCCTCTGTGTCTTCTGCATGTGATTGAACCATCCCATGGCTCCCTTCCCTTTACACAACAGAAAGGACATTAGTCCTTCCGTTGCTATGAACAATCTTCATGCAAAATGCTGCCTGTATACCTTCAGTAGTTCATTAATGAACACCATGAAAATTGGAAACTAAATATACTGTTCATGTGGTGGCCATATTGTTTTATTCTAGAAAAAATTACCTTATTCAAAAGCTGCATATTTTCAGTAAAGATAGACACATCACAGAGGCAATCAGAACTGTCTGCACTCATTGATGTTCATAAAATTTGTTGTTGTGTTCTGTACTCTTTCTGTATAATTGGAGAATGAAGTTGCAAAATTTTAGTTGGAAACCTTCAAGGAGAAAGAGTTTTTGAGTGACAGAAGCATCTTTACCAGTTCTGTCTCACCTTATTGCATGTGCACAGGCCGCCTTCTGCTGCTTTTAATACCAGCGCCCAGTGTTTGTCCCCCTGGCCAGTATGTGCTGGTGCACTAAAACCAAGAATGGGACACCAGTAAAGATGTTGTCTGGGAAGAGTAGTGCTAATGCCAGTGTGATTTAGTTACTCAGTGGATGAACAGTGTGTGTTGTGTTGCAGCATATTCTAAACAGCTGGAGCTGATGCTGGCTGAGAGGATGGAAGTTCTGGGTGACCTAAAACAGAAAGTGGCTGCATTCAGAGCACAACTTGTTGCCGAGGAACAAATCAGTCAGAAGATCAAGCGACCAGCACCTACGAGGCACACCTAACCTCTGCGCCACAGTATTGCCATTCCAGTGTGCGTTATAATGCCCAGTTATTAAAGAAAGACAAGTTGTGTGAAAGTACCCCCCCCCCTCTCCCAATATTTTGAATTGCATGGTATGTTCTAATTGTTATGACGCTCTATTTTTACCATAAATATGAACCTAATTGATTGAAGCATGTTGGGGACCATTAGTTTTGTACATTTAATTGCAGTTTCTTTTGGTCTTTTGTGCTTTTTTAAATATTTTTATGTACATCTTGTAATGAAGTCCATACCATGTCAGGAAGGACAAAGCATATGCCCCATCTTTCTAAAACTGTAGCTAATTTGTTCTGCATTGTTTCTTTGATGTGAGATAAATGTCAAGAAATATTCTCTACCTGTGTTGAGCTTGTGTTGCTACTTATTCCTGTCAGTTCTTTCTCCAGTGTGGTACTTTATAAAAGGAATATGCAATACAAGCTGCTTTACCACAGTCATGTTCATACTTTGTGATAATTTCAGTTTCCTCTGAAGTGCTGGTATATGTTTTGCATGGCAGGTTATCAGGAACAAGGAGCATCTGACATCCTTTTTTATTTACAAATACTTTCAGCCGCTTGGTGTCATGAGAGCTAACACTCGTTTGCCAAACTAACATAAATAATCCATAATGGTTGATCCAATGGCGAAAGCAACATTTATACATCACTGAATTGTCAGAAAACTATAATCAATGCTAACCCTTTGATTCATGAAATTTGTTACATATTTTTTAAAGTTTCAGTTCCTACCTCACAGAGAACATTTATCTCCATTACAGAGACCAACTGGTTAATGCTGTTTGGGGAAGTAATAACAAGAATCAAAAAAACATAAATACATCACATGGAAATATTGCAGAGTTCTTTAATGTGAAAGCTAATGGTATATACAGTTACCACTGTGCTTTATAGTGTTAAAAATCTGTCTCATCAGTTTACAGTGAAATGTGATTATTATGATACGTCTTCTTCCCTGCCCTTATAAGTTCGCAAGACCGTTCAGTGCATTTGTGGTACTACGGCTCAGCGAATCTTATGATTGCCACAGTACTTAACTAGAATTATGTAAACATTTGTTCCCTTTCCTTGATACATACATGTTCTGGAATTGCATAGAACTTCCCTCACCTCCACCAAGTTTTGTGCTGCGCAACATTCACTCTTATACCATCACCTCCCTATTACACTACGTGTAACATCAAACGTTTTTTCTTACTTATCACTCTGTGGTTGTGAAAGGATTTGTCTTCTAAAAACTTGTGAGAAAAAACATTGATGAAAAGGAAATACTGATTTTTGTGGAAGGAATGAATTTTAAAAGGTTGATGAAAGCAACTTTGAACATTTACATAAAAGAGTACTTCTGCACTATAATCTGACATCTCAGGCTTATTTGTCACAATTACTGTAGTCCTGATGCAATTTTGTGATCCCACATATCATCATTGTTCACCTCAAAACATGCAACCATCATACCTTTTCCAGGCACTTTGCCACACACTCTGCTTTGTGAGTCAGTCACTTCATGATTCTTTCTGCCAGTAGACTTCTGCAGGCTGGGCCAGACTTCTTTAAGTTCTGACATGACCATAGTTTGCCTTTTTCATTTTTTTTTTTTTTGTTGTGAAATTATACATAACAGACGCAACACTTGTATACCCCAGAACATGAGGCTGGGGATACGTGCATCCAGATCATTAACGTAAATTACATGTGTTTCTGAAGTTCATAACACTGAATTCCTCTGCAGTGAACAGTGTTGCCAGTGAAGGTTAACTAATTTCTTTTTAGAAAGGTAAAATATTTTAAATGTATAACTTCCCTTCTGACCTTTCCTTTGTGTTAGTTATTTTGAAATTGCTTTTTTTAGTACTGAGAGATGCGATTGGTTTGTTAAAGCTTTCGGACGTTAAGTTGTTATACTGTAGGAACTTTTATCATACAGAAATTTTGCATTTGTGATGCAGGTGGATTTTAACTCTTGTGTAATGGTATTTATATCAATAACAGTGCGGTGATAAGCCAGCTGAAGCCCTTCACCATTACCATAGGATGACACATAGACGATAAAGGTTAATAATATGGTATATGGCACGTGTATTTGCTATGATTTAAATTTATTTTTCCTTTGCAGACCTGGAAGTTTATTCATGCAGATGAGCACAGCGACAGTGAATAAGCTGTTGTAACTAACGGGTCTCATACATTGAAATCAGAATGAGAAAAGCTTGCACATTTAAGCTCATTAGATTATTTTAAATTATTGCCATAGAATGATCAGGATTGAATGATTAAAAAAAGTGATTTTTGGTGTTGATGTTTTGTACATCTTTTTCTCTGCCCCCCTCTTCAGTTCCCCCCTAAAAATTCAGGGAGGGGGCACATCTGTCTTTGTAACTTGGCATGACAGTGTTAACATTATATGAATCTGACACAATAAAAAGGTCTGTTTGTGTCTACTAAATACTGGCTCAGGCCCGACGGTCTGCATTGCCCTTCTGAGCCCTTCACTGGCAGCACACTGTCAAACCCTTAGAAGTCTGGAGTTCATCTAGATACTATTTAAAAATTCAGTTCCTGTCTCAGAAAATAACTGCCTCTGTTACAAAGTCCAGCCATTTAATGCTGTATAGGGAAATAATCACTGTTCACTGTGAAAATCATACAAAACACACAAATACACTTTCAGTAAAGTGCAGAATTTTTTTTTCTGTGTTAATGCAGGTTGTACATATAATTGCGACTATGCTTTAAAGCATGTGTTCTTGAACTTTGTGGTTCCATGCCCCCCCCCCCAGTCTACTGCAGCAAATAGTGCATCTCCTCACACTGCTGCAGGTCCCTATGAGGCTGTGCCCATGACAGCAGGAACATAAATAACTTTTATAGCCTCTCTGTACCTACAGGAAGCTATAAAATGCTCCTGTACAGTAACAGAAATGTTCTTGGAGTGTTCTGCTAGCTGAAAGCACCTATATCAAATCTTGCTGACTTGCCAGAACTATACATGAATACAAGTCAGAACTTGGCAAGCCCCCCTTGGGGGGGGGGGGGGGACGTACAGTTTGAGAAGCCATG